AAAACAAAGGAGGGATGATAAAAATTGCTGTAAAAGGTTAAACTCCCATGATTCTCTGTGGCTGTTTAATGGAGTTCTACGATATAAACAGACCTTTGGCTTTGCCTGCTGGGCAGGTGGCCTCCAACCAAGTGAGTTTAGACAGTATTTCCTAATAAGGAATGTTCCCTTTTCCTTCATACTTCACAAAGTCCCCAGTGTATCCAAAGACTCACACTCCCTGTCCCCTGACTGATACTATCAATAGTACACAGATGCCCACATGAGACAGAAGAGGGCTACAAAGCATGGTGTGCCAACAGGTGCATATGCATTTGTATTTATAGCTCTATGATTTGTTAATTTAGCAAGGTGATTCTGCTCTAGGTGTTAAGAATACAGCAGGAAAAAGGCATAGTCTTTGCTCTTCAGATGCTCACGGTCCAGGGGCAGGTATTTTGGCACGACAAGGTAAGCACTGGCGTAGAGACCCACAGAGAGGATTCATGGCAGAGGGCATGCCTACAGCTTTCTGGAGAAGTCAGGGAAGGCAACATCACCTGAGACACAGCCTCACGCTCGCACATAGTAAAGGCTCAATAATGTCAGCCACTCAAATTAGTATAAACAGCATTACTAAATAAGTCCCCAGTTACAGATGTAAATAGATATGAGGGACTAAGTAAAGAACATTATTTATCATTCATTTTCTCCAACCAAGTCCTGACTTAAGCGCTAGGGTAGATTAGTTATTAGGTGACGCCCTCCTCCTGGTGAAGTATGGAACTGCACCCCTACTCTATTAGCAAAAAAAAAAAAAAAAGATAAAGAAAAAGAAGCGTCTTTGGAGCTTATCTACATGAGCTGTGAAGATGAAGCCTGGACACTCATATCTTGGAGATGAACCCATGTAACAGTGGGGAAAGCAGAGGGGGGTGGTGAAAAGCATCCTCAAGTTGAACAGGGCTTTAACAGACAGCTATGATACCCAGCACCTCAGAGGGCTCACAGCCCTCTTGACATCTGTATCTCTTCAAAGAAGTGATTTGAGCATGATGACCATCTCCCTCTTTTCACCCTCCCTCACCACACACACACACACACACACACACACATACACACACACACACAGTCTAATGATGGCACCTTACCAAATAAGATTCATCTTACTAAACTTCATATCAGGGCAAGTTTGCCTGGAAAACTGACTCATGAGCATTCACTGCATTCTCTTGTCAGGTGAGCATAGTGTATTCCAGAGGCTGCAGAAGAAAATCTCGATGCCTTAGAGCAGGCTGTCCAGTGGGACGTCCTACAGCGATGGAAATGTGCTATACTTCATCTGTCAATACGGAGGCCAGCAGCTATAGGTGGCTAGTGAGCACTTGAATTGTGGCTAGTCTGACTGAGAAAATGAATTTTAAAGTTAATTTGATTTAATTTAAATGGAAACATCCACGTGTGACAGGTGGCTACCACACTGGACAACCTAGACCCAGGGGCTATGATTACACACACTTTCTTGAGTCTATTTTCATCGTTTTGACATCTTATTCTACAAACGGGCTGAGCTCCTTCCTGCTTGGCCAGACCATGGGGGTAAAATATCCAAGGATCAGGCTCTTGCCACTTCTGCCCAATCTCCTTCGCCCTCCTTGAGGGGTCCACAAGCAAGACCTTCCCAGATATCCAGCCGGAGGTCTTGTTAGCACTAAGGTTAGGTGATCCCTGTAGCTTCAGACGATTTCATCAGCTTCCCCGATTCACCCAAAGAATCCAATGCATTCATGATGTTTTCTGAGAGCTCAGGGTGATCCCCGTGCTGAGTTAACGTATTTAAGACCAGAGGGGAGGCTGCTGGGCTTGACACATGTTTTGAGCCATTTTGTGCCCACTGGGCTGAGCAGGCAGTGGCGGCCTCATCACAATGCCCTGCTTCTTCCTTCTAACGGGGTTGGAGGCGCCATCCTGACTGGGCCTGTGTAATCCATTCATTTCTTTCCAAGCCGGGCTCTGTAAGCCCATTCACGGAGGATGGAGAAAGGAAGCTGGGACGGGAAGCAAACACGCGTACCGAAAACAAACAGCACTCGGCAGCTCCCTGCTTGGGGGAGGGGGGCAGGCTGTGGGGAGAGGGGGATGGGGAAGGAAGCCACAGTGGGGGGTTCGTCTGGCAGGGGGAAAAGGGGTCAGAGGAGGGTCTGGCTGGAGAAGGAGACTGGAGATCGCGTTGCTGCTCCTCCCATTCCCTCTGGAAGCCCCGCCTTGACCTTGAGTCCCAGAGCCCCCCATCTTGGTAGACTCTTATCTCTCTCCCTTCAGCTGCCTTCTTGGGAAGAGAGGCGGTCACTAGGGAAAGCTAGAGTGGCAGCAGGCAAAAACTGGCCGCACGGAGCCCTTCCCTGGAATTTCCTTCCGTCCTCTGCCCCCATCCTTCCCACCATAGGCAGGGCACGTGGGCTCCCCGGGACCTGAGGACAGTAACCAGTCACTGAACCACCACCTCCGTCCAGCTACAGAGTTACAGGGGCGCAGGCATTTGGCTCGAGTGGGCGATTTGCATGTGATTTGCATACATCTGCATACCCCTGCTCCAGAGGCCCTCAGTCAAAGGATGTGAAATGAAATAAAATAAATTAATTAGTGCAGCCTACCATGGCCGGATCTGCGGGGCCTGACACTGGTAAGAGATGGCAGCGATTCTTAAAACAGCCAGTGGCATCACAGGTTAGGCAGAGAGAGAGACGGTGTGAGAGACAGGAGGGTCTCCCTCCCAGACTGTCCAGTCCAGGACATGGATTCTCCTGCCCCAGCCCTGCTCCCATCTTCAAGAGCATCGAGTCAAGCCACGTGGAAGCCTGCTCCTGGCTTCTACACCAGCGTCCAGCGTGGCACTGGCATTGCCCATAACTCCAGCAGGAGCCTCTGCAGGGAGATTTTCACCACTGTGGCTATGGTAACATTCAATTTCAAACCAGAGGGAGGACAATTGCTTCAAGACCTTGGAAGGCAATGAGGTGCCCACTGCTATTTTCCCATCTCCACGCTTCCTTCCATTTCGCTCCATTAACTGTTCCCACTGGGTCTCCATATTTCTATCTGTCTTTCACCACCCCTCCCTCTGATCCCATCTATGGGATGGCTGAGGAAGAGATGTGGTCCCATCGTCAGCAGTGAGCTGGAGTTAATTTATCCCTGTCCTTCTGCCAGGTGCTAATGAGATGCGTGCAGCCTGTGTCCGCCAAGCAGCTCCCATATCCTGTAAATACGCCTCTTAGTGATTCAGTTCATGGCACTATTTAACATATGCCTTGGCTTTCTCTGGGCCCACTGATCTATCTAGAATGGCACCCTTCCCTAAGGCTGGGACCCTTTAGATTGCCAGATGTGAGGTTCACACCTATGAGGCCCAGGCTACCTGGAGAGCTTGGATGGAGGGCACTAGAATTAACTCTAAGCAGGAGAGACTGCCATGCTGAAATACATGATTTTTGATTGGAAGGAGTGCAGATCACAGCCAACAAAATAACACCAACCAGCAAACCATGAATCAGAGACCCAAAATGCAAAGCAGAGCAACCACGACAGGCTGGTTCAGAGCACACCTGCCTGGACCAAGAATAAGAAGGAAACTGAGCAGAGTTGTTCTGAGTCAAGACCATGAACAGCAGGTATGCCCCAGGGATTCCTCTAACATCGAGTTTCCATGCTCTGTGTGTAGATGTGGTGACACCTCCGAGGAGCAGAGCAGCCAGCTCTAGATTCGCGATCACCAAACTGTGCCCACCACCCCACCTTCCTCGTGCTCTCTTCCACGCTCCATCACTCCCTCCAGAACAGCTCCACGTGACTGTGCTATGCATCGGTTTGATTTGAAGAAAGGGTGACAAAGATCAGGAAAGCGTGGCTTCTGATCAGGGGTTTGCAAACTGTAGCCCATCAACCAAATCACCCTCCAGACTGTTTTGTGCAGCCCGCGAACTAAGAACAGTTTTTATCTTTTTAAATGATTAATAAAAAGTAAAAAGAAGGAGAAATTATGACACATGAACCTTATACAAAATTCAGACTTTGGTGCCCATGAGTAGAGTTTCATGGGAACACAGCCGTGCCCTTCATTTACACACTGTCAGTGGCTGTTTTGGCACCATTACCAGCAGAGTTGAGTAACCGTGACCAAGACTGTGTGTTCGGCAGACAGGAGAATATTTACAATCTCAGTCTTCACCAAAAAATGTTGCCAACCCATTTTTAGATGATGGAAGAGGAGTTCTCCCCCAGGATGGTGGCGCATCTGTCTGTGCACACTTGAGCATGGCATTGCAAGAAAGGCATCAGTGCCCGCTGGACCTTCTGGGCCCAGCCCCAATTCCTTTGTGGCGAAGGGATACAAGGCTGGGATGCCCCATCCAGACACAAGAAGATTTTGTTCAGTGGTTGAAATGGCCACTTGTGCTCAAGACTCCAAGCTGCTCTTCCTGGTGCCAACACCTGGGCCCTAGGCAGGTGAGTACTGCTCATCTCTAACCAATTCCCTTCTCAGATGGTGCCAGACACCAGGATTAGTCCTATATGTAGTCAGATTAGGTGGCAGACTATCTGTGTGATTTGATTTTAAAAAAGGCAGGGCGCCTTCCTGTTTTTCTCTCTTTCCTGCCAAAAACATTACCCAAAGTCTCATGCGCAAAATTCCACCATCAGACATCGCTTCATGATTACACTACGCCTAGGGCCCAGGGTGTTCTCGTAACTTCTACTTTGCCTAATGGGGTTTCCCCAGAGTAGGGGCTTAATAGGAGCACAAAGGAGGCAGCAACCAGATCCGTCCTGAGGGTGGAAGGGAAGGCTGATCCCCGAGGAGGGTGGCAGCAGAGGACGGGAGCTCGGCAGAGGTCCAGGACAGCTCAGGACTGGGTCAGGGCTGAGGACATAGCCACGCCAGTGATGGTGTCCGGAGGGCTCTGAGGACCCTCCCATCAGCCCTGGCCACAGGCATGGAAGGGGCAGGGGTGGCAACTTACCCGGTACCACACGATCTCCCGCATGCGCCCATCTGTCTTGAAGTTACACTTCAAGGTCACGGCATCTCCAGCCACCACAGGGGGAAGAGGCTCAATGTTGACTGTCAGGTAGCCTACGGAAGAGAGGAGAAAGGGGTGGTAAGGGCATGAGCTGATGAGGGCGGGGCTGGGGCGAGAGCAGACAGAGGCGGGAAGGTCGGGGTTGTAGTTGCACAACTGTGGGGGGTGCTGTTCATACCGTGGTCTCTGTGAATGCTGACAGCAGGCCCGAGTGGAGCCTTCTTCTTCCCTCTCATTAACATCTCCCTTTCTGCTACCTTCCTGGCTTCAGTGGATCCCTCCAAACCAAACTTCTGCTTGGGACACATTTTCCCCTGAAGGTGGGACCTGCTGGCACCTCCACAAAGTGCCTCAATGTATTTCTGTAAGATATCCCAGAGAAGGCTTCTGTGCTCCAGCATCACCCCTCCACCCATTTTTAGCGTCGTGGCATTCATGATTCATGTATTCAGTCCTGCAGGAAATGAATGCTGAAATTTATTTACTTGGCATTTCCAAACCTATTTGAATATGGGCTGCTTAGCCACCCCTTAAGCCCCATCACCATCCTATGCAGCAGCCAGAATCTGGGAAATACGCATTGGGACACGGTGTTCTAGGTGCTCATACCCATCTGTTTCCAACCTCATAAACAAATGACTCCTGGTAAAACAAGAGCCCTGGAAAACCTCCAGTGGCTTCCTTAACACCCGAATTTCCCATCATGCATACTCTGCCACCCAAGGGGAGGGTCAGGTCCACGCCCTGGTCACGGTGGTGGTGATATGTTGGAGAAGTCCAGTATGGGCTGACTACTGGGGAGGGGTCTCAACTCTTTGCAAACACCGGGTGATGCTCCCCCGACTACCACCACCTGCCCCTGGGAGTGCCTGGAGCAGACGCTGGGACGCTTGCCCTGGTAGGCACGCCTTGGGGATACTGCTCTCTCCACAACGAAGTCCAGTCTGGTGAGGCCTCTAACCCACCCCTGTGCCTCCACCAGCCCCATCCCAGAGGGCTGGACCCTCATTGCAGCTCTCAGGGGAACCTCATTCCTGAGCTGATCATCCAGGTTCATCTGATCGGCTTCCTGCTGGCAGGCGTCCAGTCATCGATCTAATGGATCAATCCGGTCCAATAGTCTTAATGAGAAAACTAGCCAGGATAGGTTCGAAGGTTTCAATTGTGCAGGCAAGCTGAGCAGATGGAGCCCGCGGGCCCGACCCCTGCCTGGAACTCAATGCTTACAACCCTTCAGGAAAAGAAAACAAAACAAGCAAGCATCGACCTGGACAGGATCACTTTGGAAGCTGGAGTCAGGGTGGACCCGCATGGCCCAAGGCTTCAGGACCTGGTCTCCAGGGTGAGGGGCAAGCACAGGGCTCACCCCAAGGTGGCCTCTAACTTAGATCAGAGGTCAAACTCCTGGATAGCCCTGAAGCCCACATGGTCCAAGAAAGCCACGACCAGAGCCAACTGGTCCAACTTCCAAGATCAGAAGGACCAATCTGGATCTTTCTTTCCTCATTTACTCAGCCCCGGTTCACTCCTATCTACTCTGTGAAGGCCCCCAGCTGGGATCCAGGAACCAGGCAGTGCCCTGCCCTCTAGGAACAAGCAGTGGCAAGGAGACAGAGACACCCAGCACAGTCACCACTCAGGTGACCAGCTGGCCTCTAGGTAGGCAGATGGGGGGCCGTGGGATGGCACAGAGGAAACCTGATCCCACCTGGATCATCCTGGCCATGGAGCATAACAAACAACGAGGCCGCCTTCAGGAGGACAGACTCTGTGGAAAGGGAGATGTCAGGGCAAGCCATGCCCAACTGCAACATCGTGACAACGGCTTGCATGTCCACACCTGCTTTGTACCAGGCATTGAGCTAAGCACTTGATATACATGATATCTGTCTACTCACTTAATCACGACACTCCCAGGAGAGAGGAACTGTTATGATTCCCACTTTCTGAGGGCAAACCAAGAGGTGAGGTCCCCTGCCAGATCACACAGCTGCAAGATACAGAGCTGGCATTTAAACCCAAGCCTTTGGGCTCCATGACAACCACCGCCCTATTACAGCCTCTCAGAAGAGGTGAGAGAAAGTGGCATCTGCAGCCTGCATACTTTTTTCTCTCAGGCCTAGAGATGGAGGATTGGCATTGTGGCAGGGGCCGTGATGGGAGCTGAGGACCTGACCCCATGACCACAATTCTGAGCCATGTGGCTCCATCTTTCAGTGGGGCCGCCCTCCCTCAGACTCTCTCTCACCTTTGCAGATATAGTTATGAGTTGAGCATCATCAGTCCAGATGGCTGATGAGATCAAGGCTCGAGAAGGTCCTCCTCCCACTGGAAAGAGGAGGGAAGGACATATTCTCAGATGCATAAATCTTTGAGCAGCCCGAGGTGGGTGCAGATGGTGTCGCCTGTGAGGCAGGCAGGGCGGGATGGAGGGTCACCATTTGTTGGCGAGCCATGAGGGAATTACAAGTGTAAGTGTGGTGGTGGTGGGGAGGGCAAGTGGGGGAGTGGTCGCAGCTCTGGTGATTGGGTTGTAATGTTAGGAACACTGCCAGGTGCAGCACACTACTTGGGCAGTCGGGTTCACAGGGGCAGGCAAGGTGAGATCAGAGAGCCTACTGCACAGGCACTCAGACTTAGAGGTGAATCAGAAGGTGTGTGCAGGCTGAGTGCGGTGGCTCATGCCTGTAATTCCCGCACTTTGGGAGGCCAAGGCAGGTGGATCATGAGGTCAGGAGTTCAATACCAGCCTGGCCAAGGTGGTGAAACCCCATCTCTACTAAAAATACAAAAATTAGCTGGGCATGGTGGCAGGTGCCTGTAATTCCAGCTATTCGGGCTGCTGAGGCAGAGAATGGCTTGAACCCGGGATGTGGAGGTTGCAGTGAACCAAGACCATGCCACTGCATTCCATCCTGGGTGACAGAGTGACACTCTGTTTCAAAAAAAAAAAGGTGTGTGTAGGAATGGGGTGGCTCTGACAGATTAAGACAAGACAGTTCTCCCAGTGTGTGCAGAGAATATGGAGCTTCTAAACAGTGTTTGAGGAAACATCATTTCTCTCTCTCTCTCTCTCTCTGTGTGTGTGCGCGCGCATGTTAACATGCGTGTGTGTGATACAGAGTCTCACTCTGTCATCCAGGCTGGAGTGCAGTGGTGCAATTTCAGCTCACTACAGCCCCCATCTACCGGGTTCAAGCAATTCTCCTGCCTCAGCCTCTCGAGTCGCTGGGATTACAGGCATGCACCACCATGCTTGTCTAATTTTTGTATTTTAGTAGAGATGGGGTTTCACTATGTTGGCCAGGCTGGTCTCGAACTCCTGACCTCAAGCGATCTGTCTGCCTCAGCCTCCCAAACTGCTAGGATTACAGGCATGAACCACCACATCTGGTAGGGAAAAATTATTTCCATCATCCACAAATTTTAAGGAATATTGGGTGAAGTATCATTAAACCTGTTCTTCCCTTCAGGACTTTTCTGAACTTTTTCTACTTCCTTCTTCCTGTCTTTCCTTTATGCATGAAAAAAATTGAGAATCTGTTCTGTACCAGGCACCACTGTAGGCACTGGGGACATGTCATAACAATAGACACATCCCTGCCCTCAAGGAGCTGCCATTTTAGCAGAAGAGCCCACAATCAAATAAATGATGGAAAATATGTCCGGTGGTGATCCACATAATGAGGAAAAACAAAGCAGAGTGAAGCAATGGAGGATAATGGGGAGGGGCTTCCTTAGCCAGGGGGCCCTGGGAGGCGCTTCTGAGGAGGCTGGAATAAAGGAATGTGTGAGCCATGAGGGTATTGAGGAGAGAGCATTCCAGGCAGAAGACATGTCAAGTGCAAAGGCTCTGAAGCTGGACTGTGTGCTTAGAGTGCATACGCTCCAAGTTTGGGCCAGAGTGGGAAATTTGTCATAATATTTGACACTCTGGAGCCCATCATTTTCAGAGCATCTTGTAGAACCTGAGCCAGGCATGGGCGGGAATAGGGTGAGGCAAGTAAGGGGCCTGCAGCGCGACGTGAAAGGACAGGCTCACTCGGATTGCACCACCTGAGAGGGAGGGGTGGCTCCTTGAATGTTACCCACTGTGTGCCTGGCTAGCCTCACCCTAGTCTCAGCCCTGCTGCAGTCCTTGAAAACAAACATCGGGAAACATGCTGTAAACTGAGGCAGGAGCGACGGTGCCTTCCATTGCAGGGATGCCCCTACTTGGAGTCATGGAAACAGCCGGCGGGGAGAAATGCTGGTAGCTGGGCACTCCCCTTCTCAGCTCCGCAGGAAGCTGAAGGAGTGGGGCTTCCAGGCTGCCCAGATGGGTTCCGCCCTAAGGATTGAAAACTCCTTGCCTGAGCACGTGTCCCTTCTACTTTCTGAGCACTTTCACTCCCATTCTTTGAGCAGTTCGGGCAGCAGCCAGTGCCTGTACGACGCCGCGACCATGAGTATGTCACACTGGAGTGCAATTGTCTGTTTGCACATCTGCCTCTCCTTCTGGAAGGTGAGTTCCACTAATATCAGCAGAGTATTAAAATAGGAAAACAATAAGTGATGCATTTTGAGCCTTCGTGGGCGCAGGCAGTTTGGATCCTTGTACCGTCCTGTAAATACGTCTCTGTCACAGACAGGAATGAGCTACTGTTCAGAGCCGTGGAGCGCCTCGTTCCATGCTGTGTGGATGGAGCAGCCAAGCTGGGATCTGCACCCAGAGCCATCTGACTCCAAAGCCAATCTCCTTCTGCCACCTCTTGCTACCACCTGCAGCAGAGGACTCTCTAGGGTCTCTTGGGAATTCTGGGTGGTATCCCCCAGTTTGCAGCGCGGTCGGTTGCCACTGAGTCTTTGCCAGATCCCCGGCTCTCAGGCAGGGCAGGGCAGCCAGCGCAGGAGCTGAATCACGTGAGTGGGGAAAGGACTGACCCAGAACAACACACTGAGTGACAGGAACCATAAACAGAGAGACCCGGGCTGGGGTTGGGGCCAGGCTCGCATGAGAGATGGTGGGAAGAAGGGAGACCCCACTGCCTCAGGGCTTGAGGTCACAGCCTGA